TTTCATGTTGATATCTCTTATAGTTTTAGAGTTATGGCCCGGACAAGATTTTTCTATAAGGGGAGATAATTCAAAAACCGGGCAAAATAGAGTTATGATTCTTTGACACTGCACTCCCCCTCAATGCCCTCTACCACTGTATGAAGTTTAAACAAATTATCTCCAAGGGTTTTCAAGTTATGCTCCGGACAAGAAAACGGACGGATAGACGGACAGACAGACAGACAAGGCGCAGACTATATGCTCCCCCGAAATTTTTCGGGGAGCATAATAAAACATGCAGAGCAGCAGTTTCTGTGCACTGCACTTCTTATCAATAAGATCTATCATCCTATGAAGTTTCAAGTCTATAGCTTTTATAATTTATGAGAAATGGCCTGGACAAAAATAAAGTATGAAAATTAAGAAAGGGTAATAACTCAAAAATAAGAAGTGCAGAGTACCGGTTCTTATACACTTCACTTTTTCTTAATAAGATCTATCATCCTTTGAAGTTTAAAGACCATAGCTTTTATACTTAAGGAGAAATGGCCTGGACAAAAAAAAGGATGAAAATTAACAAAGGGCAATAACTCAAAAAATAAGAAATGCAGAGTACCGGTACTTGTGCATTGCACTTCTTCTTAATGAGATCTATCATCCTATGAAGTTTCATGTCCATAGCTTTTATACTTTAGGAGAAATGGCCTGGACAAAAATAAAATATGAAAATTAACAAAAAGCAATAACTCAAAAAATAATAGGTGCAGAGTACCGGTTCTTATGCACTTCACTACTCCTGAATGAGATCTATCATCCTATGAAGTTTCATGTCCATAGCTTTTATACTTTAGGAGAAATGGCCAGGACAAAAATAAAGTATGAAAATTTACAAAGGGCAATGACTCAAAAAATAAGAAATGCAAAGTACCAGTTCTTGTGCACTGCACTTCTTCTTAATGAGATCTATCATCCTATGAAGTTTCATGTCCATAGCTTTTATACTTTAGGAGAAATGGCCTGGACAAAAAAAAAGTATGAAAATTAACAAAGGGCAATAACTCAAAAAATAATAAATGCAGAGTACCGGTTCTTGTGCACTGCACTTTCGGTCATTATAAGAAGCATGCATACCAAGTTTGAAGTCAATCCGACTTATAATGACTTACTTATGCTCTGGACAAGCTTAACCCTTTACCCCATACACATTTAACTTAATTGCCCTTATCATGTCCATACTACCTTATCACTATTGATTACTGATAACCAATACACTCTTATCAGTGTACTGTACACTATCCCCATACAGGTTATTGGGAAAAATACAAACATCTACATCAGTGTTATTTAACCCAGTATTACTTAATTAAATCTTGTAGTAAACAATTAGTGACCAATATAAAGTATTTTCTAAATTGAATTATCTTTCTAATGGTGTATTTTTCATGAAAGTGTGAAAAATATTTCTAGAGATATGAGGCTTTAAACCAAACAGTTTACTAATTTACAATGATTTAGCTACATTTCAGATAATTAAATTATTTTTTGCACTTTTATAATGAAATTCTATTTAAAAACAAGAGGGCCATGATGGCCCTGGATCGCTCCCCTGACCCATCAACCGCATCCAAGCAATGTCTTAGACAAGCATCCTAGCCAAGTTTAATGACAATTGAGTCAAAAATGTGACCTCTAGTGTGTTAAAAGGGTTTTCCATATTTGAGCAATGCAATTTTTGACTGCAGACGACCCATATTCGAACTTGACCTACAAATCATCAAAACAACCTTTCTGACTAATTTCCTGAATATTTGGATTTATTACATGCTTTTCGGTGGTTTATAGAAATATATCAGTGATATAAAACTGGTAATTTCACTGTTTGAAACAGTGAAATTACCACTTTGATAATTTCACTGTTCCCTTAAGTTGTTTCAGTGAAATAACAGCGTGCACTGTACTGCATACCAACTTAATGACGTGACGTCGTAAACGACGTCACTTCATATTATTATTTGGCGCGCTTTTCATTCAACATTAGGTTTGATGTCTTTTTAAAACGTTTCTTTGCATATAATAAAAAGAAAATTTGTTTAGTTTAGTGTAAGATCGAAATATATTTCACCTTGTGAACACCAAAAGTTCATATTTCACTCGTGGGTGCGCCACTCATGAAATATACCTTTTGGTGCTAACTCAGTGAAATATATTCCGATCTTACACTGAACTAAACAGATATCCTCTCATATACCTTTTGGTGCTAACTCAGTGAAATATATTCCGATCTTACACTGAACTAAACAAATATCCTCTATCAAAACTGGAGCCAGTAGAGTGTTAACAAGCTTTTTCTATTTTTAGTTCCTGTGACCTAGTTTTTGACCGGAGATGACCCATCTTCTAACTTGACCTAGAAATCATCAAAACAACCTTCCTGACAAATTTCCAGAATATTTTAATCAAAATTGCAGCCAGTGGAGTGTTAACAATCTTTATCTATTTTTAGCTCCTGTGACCTAGTTTTTGACCGGAGATGACCCATCTTTGAAGTTGATCTAGTAAACATCAAAACAACCTTCCTGACAAATTTCTAGAATATCTGGATCAAAACTGCAGCCAGTAGAGTGTTAACAAGCTTTTTCTATATTTTAGCTCCTGTGACCTAATTTTTGACCGCAGATGAACCATCTTCGAACTTGACCTAGAAATTATCAAACCAACCTTCCTGACAAATTTCCAGGATATTTGGATCAAAACTGCAGCCACTAGAGTGTTTACAAACTTTTTCTATTTTTAGCTCCTGTGACCTAATTTTTGACCGGAGATGACCCATCTTCTAACTTGACCTAGAAATCATCAAAATAACCTTCCTGACAAATTTCCAGAATATTTGGAAACTGCAGCCACTAGAGTGCTAACATGCTTTTTCTAATTTTAGCTCCTGTGACCTAGTTTTTGACCGCAGATGACCCATCTTCGAATTTGAACTAGAAATCATTAAAACAACCTTCCTGACAAATTTTCAGAATATTTGGATCAAAACTGCAGCCACTAGAGTGTTAACAAGCTTTTTCTTTTTTTAGCTCCTGTGACCTAGGTTTTGAACTGATATGACCCATCTTTGAACTTGACCTAGAAATCATCAAAACAACCTTCCTGACAAATTTCCAGAATATTTGGATGAAAACTGCAGCCACTGGAGTGTTAACAAGCTTTTTCTATTTTTAGCTCCTGTGACCTAGTTTTTGACCTGAGATGACCCATCTTCGAACTTGACCTAGAAATCATTCAAACAACCTTTCGGACAAATTTCCAGAATATTTGGATCAAAACTGCAGCCACTAGAGTGTTAACAAGCTTTTGCTATTTTTAGCTCCTGTGACCTAGTTTTTGACCGAAGATGACCCATCTTCGAACTTGACCTATATATATCTTCGAACATGACCTAGAAATCATTAAAACAACCTTCCTCACAAATTTCCAGAATATTTGGATGAAAATTGCAGCCAGTAGAGTGCATGTTAACAAGCTTTTTCTATTTTTAGCTCCTGTGACCTAGTTTTTGACCGGAGATGACCCATCCTCGAACTCGATCTGTATTTCATTGAGACAAACATTCTGACAAAGTTTGACAATGATCCAATCAAAACTGTGACTGCTAGACTGTTAACAACCCAATTGTTGACGACAAAAGACGCACAACGCAAGACGCACGACGACGCACGCCAGACATAGCCCTATCACTATACCTCACCTTGACCACTTCGAGGTCAGGTGAGCTAAAAATAGATGGTTGGTGTAAAAAGGACTTTTTAAATGTAATTTTAGAAAAGGGCTGGCATATAATGTTTTAGGGTTAAAGATCTATAAAGTCAGGGGCTTTGAAGATAAAAAGGCAAAAACACAATAGTACTACTATCTTTTATTTCTGTTTTCATGTATGAATGTAATATTTTTAATGCTTATTTATTTAATAATTCATGTATATATATTATATAAAATCTTAAAATAATGCTGACAATCAGCCTTGATTGCTTTGTTTTGACAGCTGTGCGATACTGAATAAACAATGTACCACGAGTCAACTAATTAAATGGCCCCTCGCTAATTTGCATAAATTCCATTGCACAGCGTGATATACCGTTCTCCGTGATTTTATTGGTTAATTAATTTGCACTTACATAAAATCAAAACTGTTAACACATTTACACAAAACTAATGTTTAATCCTTTTTTCTTTTCTATCAACAAACTTTTTAAAATTAAATAGCACAAAGCATGTCCAACTGTTAACATGTAAAATACCCCTTGATCTACACATTTTGGTGATTACATAATCAATTCTTCTTTCTAAATATAAATATGCTAAAAATATTGAATTTGTCATGTAACTGGGGCATGCCAAGCTATATTTATCTCCGCTGGGGAAAATCTCCCAGTACTTTTCCGTGGTCAAGGTCATAAGATTTACCAGCAAATCTGTAGTAAACGCATGGTGATTTAAACTCTACCTGTCCAGAAATTTTCAATATAAACCACAAAATTTTACATCGGCAATCAGTTGAACTTTGATTAAAGTTTACATAAATGATTTTATGGGATTTCTCGCATTTATACTTTATTTATAAATTGCATTTAAACTTGCTTGCGTTGATTCGAGTATGTATGGAGATAAGACAGTTGCGGTGATTCGAGTATACATGGAGATAAGACGAGTGCGGTGATTCCCCCGTATCTATGGGGGAATGGATAATTAGTAGATTCGCGTATCTGTGGTGTAAAGGGTTAAGGGGACGCCGTCACCGACAACGACGCAGACAACGACGCCGAAGCCGACAAAAGTAACACCTATATGTCGCCTTTTTCAAGGCGACACAAAAATTATGACATTATTTACTTAATTAAATAAATAAATGTATAAAACAAGAAAATAGAAACTAGACAATTTCAGTAAACACTCCTTTTTGCTGTGAATTTAGATTAATATACCAGTAAGAATAAGAGAACATGTCCGTCTTATACCTTTTAATCTTTGTATGTCTTTGTTGTATAAAGTTTGCACCAGGGTGAACATCGCATCCATTCACTATTAATTTTCTCATCAGTTCTATGTTAGCATCGTTAACCTTCTCTGGATAGGTCATGACCTTGGCAACATGTATAGGGACAGCTACCTAAAATCGAATAAAAAAAAACAAAATCAAAGGGCAGCAAGCTCTGTGGTATTATCTGATCTTTGTAATCTAAATTGTACTGTATATATGTATGTATTTTCCTGTATTAGTTTATTTTTACCTTGCAAGCGACCAGAGTTTGATACATACGGAATTTTGCATAACTAGAGTTGCATCAAAAAATCATTTATGTTCATTCTTTATGACAGCCACACTTTTATACTTGCATATCATGGCTACTTCTTGAACAAAGACACTTAAAAAAGAATTTTAAAAAAAGTTGCCTCGACTGGGATTTGAACTCCAGACCTCTCAAACATAAAACGAGCGCGTTACCACTGCACCACGGAGATGTTATACAAACAGTGCCTGAATAAAATCAAGTCATTCTAAATTTAAAACTTCCATTGCATTTCCGGTTTGCAATCCTTATTAATTTCGAGGTATTTTGTTCAGGATAAACCTGGTGTTTACAATTAAAGTAAATAATTTAGCGAAAATCTTCTTGTCCAAACAATCGGACATGTAGAATCTATATATTCCACTACTCGGTAGTCAGATTTATTTGTGTAGTATTCGGTAATTGACATTGCTAAAAATAGCATTTTCATTGATTAAAATCATATTCATCCGCGTAATTTGTGATTGTGCATTTATTGACAATTCTATAAGCCAACGCAACTTTTAAACTTTGAATGCGTTGTAATTTGTTGGATACTTGTAACAAAATAATAATATTTCTTTCTTTTAAATCGCTAGTTTTAAGCTGTTTTGAGAACTATTTCTTGTTAGGTTTGTCACGAAAATCTGTATCAGAGATTGAATGTCCGCTTTGTATTTACTGATCTCCGATCAGAAAATACAAAAACTAAAACTATAAAAAATATAACAAGAGGGCCATCATGGCCCTGGGCCATGATGGCCCTGAGGTCGCTCACCTGTATAAAGGCACCCGGAGCGGGACCAGTTTAAATCCTAGGGCTTTTATTTAAACAAACTTGGAAGACACCCATTAGAAGATGTTTCACGATGTTAAGTTTTTACTACACACATATAATGAAAAACAACAATCTACCCCCCTCCTTCCGCCCCCCCTGGAAGGGCCAATTTTAACCCAAGGGCTTTTATTTGAACAAACTTGGTAGACACCCATAAGAAGATGTTTCATGCTAAACATCTAAGTTCTAGCTCATTGGGTTTTTTTAAAAGAAGATTTTTAAGTTTTTACTATACACAAATAGTGAAAACCAATGACACCCCTGGGGCGGGGCCAATTTTGACCCCAGGGCTTTTATTTGAACAAACTTTGTAGACAATTACTAGAAGATGTTTCATGCTTAATATCTAAACTCTAGCTATTTGTGTTTTTTCAAAGAAGATTTTTAACTTTTTGCTATACAAATATAAGGAAAATCAATAACACCCGGGGCGGGCCAATTTTGACTCCAGGGCTTTTATTTGAACAAACTTTGTAGACACTCACCAGAAGATGTTTCATGCTTCATATCTTAACTCCAGCTATTTGGGTTTTTTCAAAGAAGATTTTTTAAGTTTTTGCTATATAAATAGAAGGAAAATCAATGACCCCCGGGGAGGGGCCAATTTTGACCCCAGGGCTTTTATTTGAACAAACTTGGTAGACATCAATTAGAACATGTTTCATGCTAAATATCTGAGCTCTAGCTCTTTGAGTTCTTTAAAAGAAGATTTTTTAAGTTTTTGCTATATACATAGAAGGAAAATCAATGACCCCCGGGGCGGGCCAATTTTGACCCCAGGGCTTTTATTTGAACAAACTTGGTAGACACCAATTAGAACATGTTTCATGCTAAATATCTTAGCTCTAGCTCTTTGATTTTTTTAAAAGAGGACTTTTTAAGTTTTTACTATATGCATATAGGAAAATCAATGACCCCCTGGGGCGGGGCCAATTTTGACCCCAAGGCTTTTATTTGAACAAACATTGTAGACACTCATTAGAAGATGTTTCATGCTAAATATCTAAACTCTAGCTATCTGGGTTTTTTAAAAGAAGATTTTTAAGTTTTTACTATAATTATACATATAGGGAAAATCAAAGACCCTCTGGGGCAGGGCCAATTTTGTCCCAAGGGCTTTTATTTGAACAAACTTGGTAGACATTCATTAGAAGATGTTTCATGCGAAATATCTAAACTCAGCTATTTGGGTTTTTTCAAAGAATATTTTTAAGTTTTTACTATATGCATATAAGGAAATTAAAGACCCCCTGGGACGGGGCCAATTTTGACCCCAGGGCAATTTTGACCCCAGGGCTTTTATTTGAACAAACTTGGTAGACACTCATTAGAAGATGTTTCATGCTAAATATCTTAGCTCTAGCTCTTTGGGTTCTTTAAAAGAAGATTTTTAAGTTTTTACTATATGCATATAGGGAAAATCAAAGACCCTCTGGGGCGGGGCCAATTTTAACCCAAGGGCTTTCATTTGAACAAACTTGGTAGACACTCACTAGAAGATGTTTCATGCTAAATATCTTAGCTCTAGCTCTTTGGGTTCTGTAAAAGAAGATATTTTAAGTTTTTACTACATGCTTAATATCTAAACTCTAGCTATTTGGGTTTTTTCAAAGAAGATTTTTAAGTTTTTACTATATGCATATAGGGAAAATCAAAGACCCCCTGGGGCGGGGCCAATTTTGACCCAAGGGCTTTTATATGAACAAACTTGGTAGACACTCACTAGAAGATGTTTCAGTGTTCTGCCAAGGCCGCGAATCCGCGACATTCTCGCTAAAAAATTGCAAATGTCGCATATTAAAATGCAGTGGTGCAAATATTGTTGCGTACGAAATTTCTGAGTACGAATCCAACAAAGTGGTGGCAATTCTCATGGCATTAAAATTATTACACGGTAACCTAAGCAAAGTGCGCGTAAGTTATCTTACATTGATTCTGATTGGTTTATAATTATAGAACAGCCAATGAAAACATATTTTACTTTTACTGTTGTTAATAATGCAGACGCCAGAGAAAAAACCAAAAATAATACTCAATTTTTTTAAAAAAAAAAAGCCCAATTCCCAATGACAATGAAAGTCAAACAAAAACAATAATGTATTGTACCAGTCCACATCATCTGAGCCTCCTTCAACCCTGAAGCCTTCAGAAAACATTGACATCAAACGAAAATCTATTGTACGTCCATTCCAAAACAAATGGTTAAATGATTTCACATGGCTTAGTTACTCTACGGATAATTATATGACCCGTAAATTGTGCATTAAACATAATAAGACTAATGCTTTCACATCCAAAAATTCTAATTTCAACATATAAAAATTCCAGTTATTCACAAGTTACAGTTTGAACAGTTGAATTTAAATAAACTTACAGTATGCTTAAGTCAGTTTTCCACAAGCAGTGGTGATGTACATATGTAAAAAGTGTTTATAACATCATAAGAAGATTAACATCAAAATAAAATCAGGTAATCTTTTCTTTAAAATTTTGATGTCTTATTGATATTCAAAATGTCCCCAATATTTTTCATTTAATAAGACATTTGTCCCTATTTTTTTGAATCCTTGGCAGAACACTGATGTTTCATGCTAAATATCTTAGCTCTAGCTCTTTGGGTTCTTTAAAAGAAATTTTTTTAAGTTTTTACTATATGCATATAGGGAAAATCAAAGACCCCCTGGGGCGGGGCCAATTTTGACCCCTTTGCTTTTATTTGAACAAACTTGGTAGACACTCACTAGAAGATGTTTCATGCTAAATATCTTAGCTCTAGCTCTTTGGGTTCTGTAAATGAGGATATTTTAAGTTTTTACTACATGCTTAATATCTAATCTCTAGCTATTTGGGTTTTTTCAAAGAAGATTTTTAAGTTTTTACTATATGCATATAGGGAAAATCAAAGACCCCCTGGGGCAGGGCCAATTTTGACCCAAGGGCTTTTATATGAACAAACTTGGTAGACACTCATTAGAAGATGTTTCATGCCAAATATCTAAGCTCTAGCCCTTGGGTTTTTTTTAGCGAAGATATTTAAAGATTTTTCTTTTGGTTGCCATGGCAACCAGAGTTCTGCATGGAATTAAATTCTTTGAACAATTTTTTAAAGGTGACCACCAAAGGAACATTCCTGTGCAGTTTGGATGAAATTGGCTTAGTGGTTTATGAGGAGATGTCATTTAAAATAAAAGTTTACGGACGGACGGACGACGGACGGACGCCAGACGAAAAGCCATCACAAAAACCTAAAAAGTCAGATCCTACAAGTTATACAAGAGGGCCATGATGGCCCTGGATCGCTCCCCTGACCCATCAACCGCATCCAAGCAATGTCTAAGACAAGCATCCAAGTTTGATGACAATTGAGTCAAAAATGTGACTTCTAGTGTGTTTTTTTAAAAAGCTTTTCCATATTTGGGCAATGCGAACTAATTTTTGACTGGAAACGACCCATATTCGAACTTGACCTAGAAATCATCAAAACAACCTTTCTGACAAATTTCCTGAATATTTGGATCAAAACTGGAGCCACTACAGTGTTAAAAAGATTTTTCTATTTTAAGCTTCTGTGACCTAGTTTTTGACCGGAGATGACCAATCTTCGAACTTGACCTAGAAATCATCAAAACAATCTTCCTGACAAATTTCCAAAATATTTTAATCAAAACTGCAGCCAGTAGAGTGTTAACAAGCTTTATCTATTTTTAGCTCTTGTGACCTAGTTTTTAACCGGAGATGACCCATCTTCGAACTTGACCTAGAAATCCTCAAAACAACCTTCCTGACAAATTTCCAGAATATTTGGATCAAAACTGTAGCCACTTGAGTATTAACAAGCTTTTTCTATTTTTACCTCCTGTGACCTAGTTTTTGACCGGAGATGACACATCTTTGAACTTGATCTAGAAATCATCAAAACAACCTTCCTGACAAATTTCCAGAATATCTGGATCAAAAGCTACTAGAGTGTTAACAAGCTTTTTCTATTTTTAGCTCCTGTGA